TGTGTGTGTGTGTGTGTGTGTGTGTGTGTGTGTATGTGTGTATATATATGTATATATCAAACAAGATTCACGGAAGATAGATTATACGGATATACCGAACACGAGGATGAGCAGAAATTTCAGTGCGATATAGAAGGAAAAGGGGTAAGGGAAGGGTGTAGGGGAAAACCCTAAATCTAACTTGCCACGTTGCGAATAACGTCGACTGAATACCGCGGCAACGTATTTCTGTGAAACATTTCGTAAGCAGAGAGAACGCCTAATGGATCCCAAGTTTATGTCTCTACCGCGACATTTTCGTCTAAGGGGGTAGAAGGAGGGGTTGTTGAACGATATGGGGGTGTTCGGTTGGAAGGAACCCGATATAGATTCAACGATTTCCTCGTCGAATGCTCTTTGGCCAAACCGAAACACCGATCCTTCGTCGTTTCAATTACATTGAACACAACGCGTTACTACCCCACGAGCTTTAGGGAAACTTTCTTCTTATTATTATTCGAACGGTGTATCTCTATTTACTTGCAGTTATAGTAAAAGCTTAAAGAAAGGAGTACTCGCTACTTTCTTTACATTTATTTCGATTTATTGTAGAAGATAATATCTATAGAACTTTTTAATTCTTTTTTTCTTTTTTTTTTTTTTTTGAAATAAATTGGAAAAGAAAAATCGTTAAATAAAAGGGTATACAAGAAATATTGTATTAAAGAGTAACTTGGCAAATATTTATCTGACATCAGTAATCATACGAACGAGTGCAATTTTCTCCTTACTGCAGCAATGTCACCTGGAAACTCTCTCTCTCTTTCTCTTTCTATTTCTCTTTCTCTTTCTATTCCTTTCTCCCTTTCTCTCTCTCATTCGCTTTCACGAATTGATCTCATTTCCAAGATTCGAATCTTCCATTACCGTGTACCGTTTCGCGTTTTCCATTAACTTTTTGCATCTCGATCTCGACGACTATTTTACAGTACTCCGAAGAACTTTACGCGGGGATCGATGACACGAACAACAGTTGCTATTTACCATTTTACGAATCATGTTCGTTTCATCTTTTTTTTTTAATCGAAGGATAAAGGAATGTTGAAAAGTACATTATTAAATTATAAGAAAAAAAAAATAGAGAATCGACAAAATCGAATATTTCATTGACAATCTCTAATTGATAATAGACAAAACTATGCAAAAACTGTTAAATAAAACTAGTGACTTTATACATAAGAAAAGTAATAAATTCACCGCCCTAATCATTTTCATGCATATGTATTTTTACATAAATACATATATATATAAATGTAGGTATACTCGATACCACTAAGTAAAGCGAACTTCGACACGCAAAGTCAGTATGAAGTATCACGCGAGCTTAGTCTTCAAAGATCAAATTCTTCATTACCTTCTTTTTACTTTTACCCACGTATTGTCGTAACATTAATGTCAACCTACCATTTTAGGATTTACTGCTGCACTAACATCTAACTTGATTAGCCTAATTTTATAATCTCTGATTATAAATTATATATATGTTATATATGTAATATATATAATTACATATATAAATATATTTCAGTATTTTTTTATAAAAGAAACTGTTGCTAGTCAACATCTCGTTCTACTTGAAGGGTTTTCAAAAAGTCAGCACGATAGAGAAAAAAGGAATATGCCGCCTCCTTACGATCGGCGTCAAAGATAAAAATCAAAGTGCAGCGTCGTCGGTATCAGAAAGTCGTTCAATTTTTGATACAAGTAATAAGAATTTCGCCATATGTATATAAGAAAACTATATGCATTTTTATCCATTATTCTTTTTCACATTACACATATTTTTTTTTTTTTGAAGATATGTTGTATAACATCTATGTTTTAAAGTCATACACAAAACAAGAAATTTTATATACCTGTGCATTTATGAAATGCATTAATATATTATAATTCCAATTAAAAAGGTAATAAATATTTTAAAAACTAAAAAGACGACTTTCCTTATAAAATTCTGGCATGCTTTCGAAATTTAAAACTGAGCCTGCGTGGAACTATTTTCGCGCGCTTAACTGACCAATCAGGTACGCATAGTATATTTAGCGCGCGTATTTTGAAACTTGAAGTTAAAGGAAAAATATCGATTTTTCGTTGAATCAAAATAATAAATGCATGAGATAAATTACGAGAATTATAATAAATAATTAATAATGTTAAATAACTACGAATTTTTATTCTATTTATTTATAAATTGATCATTTTTTTAGCACTAATTATAATCTTGTTTATATCATTTAATTATAATTAAACTATCTAAACTATAAGCTAATAAACATATGTTACACGATACTAATCAAACACCTTAAATAATTTTCGTATTTCCTTAATAAATAATTGATAAAATCAATGCAAATCAATTTAATTATTATAATAATGTCATCGCGAATTTTTTTTTGCAAAGCGAACGCAGCGTCAAACATCACTACAGTGAATTAAAGTTAGTTCCATTTGATAACGATAGAGGCGCTGATAGTCAACTTACGAACGAGAAGGAAGAATTTAGTCGCGGTGTCCAAAATTTATATGGCGGGTGTGTCGTTTGGAGGATGTAGTATATTTTAATCATTATTACTTCATTTTCCTTGGTTTCGTATCTAGTTCCGTGATAAAGGTGAAAATAATGTATTTCTTATGTTAACATCACGATGCTGAATGCATTCACTTTGCAAGATTGTTGCATTGACAAATGCAACCTTCGAATAAGCCCATCGTTCGATACTTTATCTCGTTTGAATACTAATTAATTATTTCCATTTATGGAAGCACACATATATATATTTCTATTGATGAATAAAGAGTCCCATTTATAGTTGATAACTACGTGAAATTATTTTTTTCTTCTTTAGTCATTTAACATTATGTTTCAAAGCCTTGGCAGAAAGTGACGTCATTCAAGATAAATCAATAACGCGTGTACCATTATTTTGAATAGATACTCGATATTTCGTTATATATATATATATATAGATATATAGATGTACTTTTATTTAAAGTTTCAATATTTACTTTATAACATATGTTTTAATAGTATTGTCATATGTATTCAAATAATTGATACTCATTCTTATTTTTTTAGTGCAATTCCCAACAATCAAAATGATGTCAGATAGAAAAGCTGAACTAGAGAGGAAAAAGGCGAAGCTTCAAGCTATCAGAGAAGAAAAAGAAAGGCGAAGAAGAGAAAAAGAACAGAAAGATGTAAGGTTATATTTGTTAATGATAAATATTTCAATTGAAAGATATTTGGATATTGTTATCATAAACTTTTAATGACAGGTCGAAGAAGCAACGGTACGTGCAGCAGGTGCTGACAAGGATCATCGTAAAGAAATTGATGCTATGCTTTCATCTTTGGGAATGGCACCAGTTTCAGGTACATTGAATGATCTTTTAGAAATTGAATATTGAAACATATAAATTTGTAAAACTAGAAGTTATTATAATATATATTCGACAGTGCAATTGAATTCTAAAGATGCACAATATTTGCAGATGTACTGTCAAGTTTATCTAGTATGAATTCTTTGACACCGGAGCAAAGTGCTAATGCTACACCAGATGCAAGTTTACAACCTTCTAGCATAAATTCAACGCAGAGGTAATTATGTTAATGTATACATAAACTTATAATGGATGCTATAAAAGAAGTGTTTTGTATTAAATTCATTTTTTACCATATGTAGTACTGGACGAAGGAAACCAAGAGAACTGACCATCGTTTCTGTTGCTAATACCAATATTCCACCAAAAGAGCCTGTTGTTTATAGTAAACAAACGCAAACAGTTCAAACTACGCATACATCTCACGACGGTGAGTCCAGGTTTTATAATCTATTACTTTCATGCACTTTGTTTCATGTTTCACTCATACTTTACGAAAGATATTAGTTCATAAACAACACAAAAACATTTTCTAAGAATGGTAATATTATCATACGGTAAGATTAAAATATATCGTTCTTTTGTTAGGGTGCAAAAGACAGATTTAATTTAAAAATTGTCTTTCTTTTAAAAGTTCATTTTGCAACTTGTTTAAAAGTAAAATCATTGAAAAGTAATTACTATTTATTAAATATTTATATAATACTGGCTACTTGATGAAATATATGTGTGATTTTAGTATTTGATTAAATATATTCATATTTAAATTTTTATAATATGGTAAAGTGGGTGGTGTATGAAGATATGTTATGTCCAAAATAACTACCTTTGGAATAAATTTCCTAACAAATTCAAGCATATTAGCATTAACAGATTTTCAAAAGTTAATGGAATATATAATTTCAATGTGATTAATCGTGTTGTTTAAATTTGCCTTTTTATTTTATTTTCATTGTGATAATATTAAGGTTTATTTTACTTATTTTATATTATGTTTATTTAATTATCTTTAACTTGCGAGGAAACTTACATATTCATTAAATGTGTTTTTATGTATAACATAAAACTAATCTATTAAAAAAAAAAAAAAAATAGAACATGATAAATTTTTACCTTACTTTAACAAATTTTTATGCATTATTTTTAATCATTTTTTTTTTGTAGAGAGATCAAAAAATTTTACAACGGTTTCTGTAAGATAATACCAATGAAAAAACAAATGTTATATATAAATAACATTAAACTTCGTATATAATTGAATTATTGATTAATAAATAAAAATTAAGTGATTTATTTGCATTTAAGCTTATTGCAATAATACAGGATTGAAATAATTTGTACAGACCATTAGGTTATACGTTTAACAAATAATTGGTGAACATAATGGGTATAATAGTTTAGCTAACAATAGATCAGGGTATATATATATAACTGATATGGTTCTTCTGGTGGTGGAGATCCTCTTTCCTAATTTTGTTTTATTTGTTGTACCGCAAATTCAGTTAGTTCGCACATTTGTTATATGTTATAAATATTCATTATTATTATTATTAATTTATTACATTGCGAATATAAATACTTATTTTAATTGTAAATAGTTTCAATACTTTATACTTTTATACCACCTACTTTACTGTGATGGTACAAGTTACATCGATAAATCATTTTTGAAGGATATTATAAATTATTATTTATAGATATAAAAGAAAAAGAAAAATAACTTATAATTTTGGGCATCATTTTTGAACAAAAAAAAAATGTCTATTCAAATTCCTCATCTCTCTCTCTCTCTCTCTCTCTCTCTCTCTCTCTCTCTCATGTGCGTTTATTAATCTAACTGATCTTGCGGCATTATTAAACGCGCATTCCCATTGTCTTTGCGATATAATCGGTCAAATCAACCCATATTGGACACAAGGACTGTCCAAATCTTCTTCCGAATACACCATCTACTCCTCCTGTTCAACAACAACACCAACTCACTCTTGCTCCGCAGGCTACTTTGAGACTGACTGGTGGCGTCCCAGGAAAGGTGGGTCTGCACCAAACTACCTATGTATGTTCTGTCTACTTTTTTAATACCCTTCCATAATTGTTGTACAACGATATACTATATAGAGGTAGATATGTCGCTGTCCGCGTTTATAAGAGAAGGGATGTAGAGTCAAGTTTTTTATATGTGTGCTTTGTGCTTTGAACACTGCTCTGCTGATTATCACGATTACATATTATCATTTATTTTATTTATATACTCGAGCATACTTTTATTCAATCTATTTTGTTATAGACACAAAGAACATATACATTTTCTAAATCCTATATCGATTCTACAACCCTAAATAGAAATATTTGCCAAAACTGTACATGGGAATTCGATACGAGATGATTTTCAATCCTTTTGCTCTCTCTCTCTTCTTTTTTTTCTTTTTTTTTTCTATTGTGATACATAGCTTTATGATAGATAGTTTAGATTAAATAATAATATTAATGTTATTTATTAGAAACAATATTTCCACGTACAGATAAAGAGTCGCTTGCATACAAAAAACAAAGCTTCTATCACATGCTTGAAATAGTTTAGTTTAATATACTAACAGATATATTATAGTTTTACATGATTCATTAACTTTTAAAACTACCTGTTTGTTGTGAAAAAAAAACATTATACGTCACTATAATAATATTAATTATTTCAATACAAACGTATCGGTTTTAATAATCAGCTCGGTGATGATTACATGCATTTATTTTTTTTTTTTTGAATTAACATGAAAAAAAAAACTTAAATGACTTTTCAAAGCACGAAACATTAATTTTATACATATTCCGAGTAATTTACAAGATCTCTTTTTTTATTCGGATTATAATTAATAATAATTATTAAAAATTGCCGTGCTATTATAATGTTCACCATTTTAATTCGTAATTAAAATCGAAACAATTAAAAAAAAAAAAATATGTTTAATGAATTTGTATGTCGGAGAAACTTGAGAAGGGGGTAAGCGCAAGTGTGACAAGGGATGTAAGTGAGATATTAAAAAGGCCAATTCATATTTGTAAAAACGGCGGAAAGAATTTTATAAACAAAATTAATTATTATACTATTTCTATTGTATATATTTTTTCTCTCTCTTTCTCTATTTTTTTTGCCCATTTTCTTTCTTTAATTTTTAATTGCAGTATTTACGCATGAGGACGTATATAAAAATTTGTATTATTTTATTCTCTATACGGCATTTATCTATTCAAAAAATGGTGATCACTTGTGCTTGCGCTATATGCAAATATGAATTTGGCTTTAGACGCTTATTAATAATAATAGATACGGTTATTGAGTCGTGCTTGAACGCGAAATTATTTTTTTTTTTCTTTTTTTTTTTTTAATTCAGGAACTCGTGAAAAGTTTTGTTTAATTTTTTAAAACAAAAACAAAAAATTGTAGCGGGTCTAAAAGGAATGCTTCGACTACGATGAAAGAATTAAATCATTTTTTTTTTTTTTTTGGTTAAAAAGATAATAAGTAGTTATGCATTCGGATATATTGAATATGTACGTTTCCTCCTCTAATCGTAGGAATCTAAAAAAAAAAAATACAGCACAGTAAAAAAGTATACAAATTATAATCACCTAACTACATTCAGCATTATTTAGGATGTCCTTTTGAACGTTTCGTTATTACCTTTTTTTCTTTCTAAACATTTCACTTGACAAGTAGCAGCTGTAACGATAATTGTTGTCTATTCTTTCTTTACATCTAAAAAAACAAAACAAAAAATTGTTTATTTTATCACAATTTATCTTTTACAATTTATCTTTTACAATTACATATGAAAAATATGATTTAACCAGTTAAGTGTGGCGATCTGTGCGCAGAGTGCGCTCTGGTGTATGTCGCGATAATCAAGCGATGACGGATATAGTCGTCAAACACAGAGTAAGTGGCGCTGTTAAAATATTGGATAGTCAAAAAGACGACTTTATTTTAGAAAATGAACAATTTTGTTAGTAATGTACACACAGTTTTTTAATATGAACATACATTTATACATAAATAAACGGAAAAATTATAGAAAAAATCGAATATTTATAGAAGTTAAAAATTTATTCTTGACTTTTTTTTTTTGACCTCTAAACATTTTAAACATATTAAAATTTACGAATATAATTTAGTTTTACGCCAAAATTACAATTTAAACATCAAATTGTAACAAACTTTTACGCATGACGGATATAGAGACGTCATAACATAAAATTTTGCCACATCTCCATGACGTATATAGTCGTCAAACACGCTTAACTGGTTAATAATACGCTTATAATAAATAGAATTTGATTAATTTGACACAATAGCGTTACAGCATAAAAAACAAGCACATTGCAAGCAACATTTTTCTAGCTTTGAAAGAGAAAAATATCCTCTATTCCAAATCTAGGAATTTCAATTACAAAATATTCCAACTTTGATTTCACAAGATATTATTTGTGAATTTTTTCATTTTTGAAAAGCTATAATTGGTCTGAGTGTAGAGAGGTATTTAATTAGCATAGTGCATTCTTAAGAAACCGTTTACTAAGTACTATTTTTTTACCTTCCCTTCTCAGCTCATGCATTCGACTATTACGGTAAGTTATGATTTCTCTTGGTTTTCAGTGAGATTAGGTTCAATCTTAGGTTTAGCTTCACTCAGTTTAATTCATTATTTGGAACGATTATAATATACATACATACATACAATTATTAATTGGCATAAATAAATAGAAAATTTTGAGTTATAGTTAGATAATAGTTATAAATAAATATATATAGTTCGGGTTTTAAAAATATTTAATAAATTAGAGTATATCAATTAATTAGTTCATATTAAAGATCATATCACTTTTCAATATAAGGTAAGATTTGATTTTAAATGAAAGTATATACAATTTATTATTAAATATAATAATATAAGATACAATAATAATAATAATAATAATAATAATAATAATAATAATAAAAAGATAAAATATGGAGAATACGCTCTCTTTTCCGTTTCTCTGTTATCTCTTCTCTTTCTCTATATTTCTCTCTCTCTCTCTCTCTCTCTCTCTCTCTCTCTCTTTTTCTATGATTTTTTTTCTATCTTATATTTCCTTTCTTATTTATCTTTTTCAATCAAGGATTTAATATATTAAAAATGATACAATTATTTATATCGTGCCTTGAACAAAATGAAAATTGAGTTTAGATTAGCAAAAAGAAACTCTCCACCCAGACCCACAAAGATTTCCGCTGTTTTTTATGACCCTTTTTGTTTAGTCTTTTCTACCCTATTAGTTTATTTCTTTTTTAAATTTATATATTTATTTATTTATTTATTTATTATTATTTAATTGGATGCGTATATTTTTGATTAAATATATTTCCAAGTATTCATTTTTTCGATAATTATCTGACATCCCGACTCTCAAATAATTAAAGATTAGATTTATATATATATATATATACACAACCTTTTAGACCAAATTTTCAATCGAATTTCATTCAGATTTTATACATATATATATGTAATATTTGCAGGTATAACGAGATCAAAAAAAATTTAAATATATCAATCATTAATTAATTGTATTTTTTAATTTATAGAAAATGATGGTTTTTGTTATTTATGATTTTATTGTTTAAAAGAAGAAACCGTGTTTCGATATATGTGTGCAATTTTGTCAGAGATTTTGATTCGTAGAAAATTTTGTGTACAAAGTTAATAATAATAATAATAATAATATCCATTTGGCAAATCTTGTCACAACTTAACGCACCTTCCAGAGTTCTCGGCGTGTTATTTATTTACCTCGGTCGGATTTGAATAAAAAGCTTTCAACTAAAATAACTAACACGGGAATGGATTATTATAGTATGTGATAATGATGGTTAAGGTTTCGTTAATTCAACGTTATACGATTAACTTTTACTTTTTCATCGGCCATAAAAAAAAAAAATAATATGTGCGTACAGAGACAGACCCATTTTTATAACGAAACGATTAACACAAATACACTGGACATTTTTTTTTTTATATCCACTCGATACAATTCTGTGGCTTTGAAGCTTTTTAGCGATGCAGCAGTCTAATTAAATGTCGCTTTTAAAAAGATATAGATTAAGAAATATAATATATATATTTATATTTTAATGTTATAATGAAAAATACCGCTTTGTTCTTTGAAATTTTTGCGAAGATGACGTAGCAACAAAATTAATGAGTAAATCAATTTTTTTTTATTGCGTCAAATTAAATTAGGGAGTAACTTGATCGAGGTATTTCTTTTTTATTTTTTTTAATTTTTTTTTGTGTTTGTTTTTTTTATATTTTTTTTTTCTTCAAACCATTTTCGAACGAACTTAATTCAAAACAGAAAAAAATATTCCACGATAATTCGAGAGATTATCATCCAACATTATTTCAATCAACAGTCGGAGATGTCAGTATTTTTACATTTAAATGTTGTTTAACATTTTATAAATCCTCGCTTGCCTTTAATTTTTGTTGCTATGAAAGCTTCTTGCAGTCCTTTTCCATTAAAAATTTTGCAGATAATGAGTTTTATATATATGATATATTCATTTATTTAATAGTAAATCCCATATTTTTCCTCGTTTCGATTGAAAAAAACAAAACAAAACAAAATTATAAACGTGTTCAGCGGATTCTCTGCATAATGCAAAAGCCTTTAGAACATTTATAATTATTTATATAAACATATATATTTTACACACACAAACATACATACATACATACATACATACATACATACATACATACATACATACATACATACATACATACATACATACATACATACATACATACATACANCATACATACATACATACATACATACATACATACATACATACATACATACATACATACATACATACATACATACATACATACATACATACATATATAATAAAAAGCGGTATAAGGATATTAAGTGTTTAACATTTTGTACAGCAGCTTTAGTAACTTTTCGATTAATTTTAAAAATTCTAACGTTATTTTTTATTTGGAGTGAGATAACTAAGAAATATTTGTTTAATATTTGAAAATAGAAAAATTATGCAGAAGAAATAATAATAATAATAATAATAATAATAATAATAATAATAATAGTTTGATAACAGAGAGCAGTATGTGCATGTGATAGATATGTTAATGCTGACTCATCAAATTCGATCGTTTTTATTTTTCTAGATAAATCATTGATGAATTTTTAATGATTATGAATTATGAAAGATTTCTTTAAAATAATAAATGTTAAATCTTTTTTTTTTTTTTTGAAAAATATCCATCAATGATTTTTCCTATGAAAAATATGAAATTATAAAAATAACTACAAACAATATTGAAAATAAGATACAAAATTGATTGACGTTTTCTTTTCCCTCCTTCAAGACGAGTACAATCTAAATCCAGGTTTAGAATGGGAGGACGAATTTACAGGTAGGTAATCCTCTCTAAAGACGAATATATAACACTATCTTATTTAATCACCAATTAAATGTCTCGATTACTTTTATTTAACTTCATGAAATATAAATAGAACAATTATTCTTCACGTAATATATATAACATATTTATACATTTTTTTTTTTTTTCATTTTGACATAAACGTAAACAAACAAAAATTTATCATATTTGCCTTTATTATATATGCACCAACAGAACAAAAAAAAATAATAAAGGAGGGAATCGCTGCTAGTACTTTAATCAAAAATGCTTGATGAGTTGTATTATTATTAAATCAATGTCGTTGTTGATTTTTATAATTTAAACAGCCAAATATGCTTTTTATGTATCACGCATGCACATATATATATATATAAATAGTGGTTATATCAGTTTCGATATTAATTCAATTTAACATTTAATTTTGTTAGATTGATTCTTCTTTTTTCTTTTGTTGTTAGTACATTTAGGATTCGTACATTTGTTTATTTAAAACTGTGGTTTATTCATCTTAGAATTCATTTGAATATAATAAGTAAATACATTATCGTTAATATTATTTTAATTAATATAAAATTAATTAGACATATAAAACCACCGTTTTAAATGAAGTATTATTCCAATTAGTATTTAATTGCATTTACTAATATTTGTTTGATTATCGTCGAAGATTATAATTTTTATTTATTTATTTATTTTTTTTTTTTTAAATTAGAAAATATATATATAATATTTCATTAATGCTGCATGAGGCTTAGGAAGTTGCGTTAATACATACGTTAGACACTCATGTTTGTATCTTATGATACGTTCAAAATCCATTCCGGCATTTAACATTATCAATTTTAAAAATAAACTGTGAATTTTGCATTCTCCATCTTCTTTCTTCAAATATTTTTTTTTTTTCGATAGAAAACAATATTGTTTATTGCCTAAAAAAGAAAAAAAAAAGAAAAAACATATAATTAATTATAATAAAATATATCATTTAACGTTACATATACGTTTTAACATTTTCGTCTCGTAACTTCATTTTGATGACGTTTTTGCATGTCGCGACGAAAGGGTGGAGAGACATTTGTGACAAGAAAGTTACGACGAAGAAAAACTGGGAATAATATTATATTTATTTATTTATTATTTTTTTTTTTTTTGAATTAGCGAACAATCGACAAAAACGATTTACGTTCGAAGAAGGAAGGATGTCTTTCAATAAAAACGTTCTAACTTTTTGTTCTCTCTCTTTCTCCACAAACATACTTGATTTCTTTGCATGCCATTTTTTTTTTGTTTTTTGTTTTTGGATTTTACTTTTCATTTATTATTATGCTCCTCTATTTATTTTATCTCTTTCATTGAATTATATCTTGCAACGTATAACCAAATATTATTTTTGTTAGTCCAGCAATTCACTTTAATGCTTCGAATATTTATTTTGAAAATACATATTGTAAAAAAGAAAAAAAAAGAGAAGCGATCCTTCCGACGATTTGCAAATATCGAATAGCCTTTTTTTTTTTTAAAAAAAGGGTATACTATTTATCATGAAATAAATAGAATACTTGCATGATATAAATATATACTACAAGCATACAAAGAGAAAAACATTTTCTAAATACAAAACTTAGTTTTGCGTTAAAAATCGTGTTCGATCTTTCCTTGAGTTACATGTTCGCGCATGTAAGTTATTACAGTAGAATGTTCGTACTGTAGAAATGATAGATTTGCACATAAAGTTCAAGTATACTTTCATCTTATCTTTTTTAAAGTTTGTTCTTACGTAATAACACATTGTAAAGGATAGACAAAATGTTATAGTTTGAAAAAGTAAATAAGACCGGAGCAAATTGATACAATGTACAGTTATCTAGAACATTATGTGTATATATATAGCTTGATCAGTGATAGATGTTTTTGTAAAGATGATTTTATATAATAATACCTTTCTAGAGAGTATAAGTTTAATGATGAATTAATTAAATGTAAAAATTGTTATTTGAATCAATTTTTGATTATTCACACACACTCTATCAATTTTATTAAAATACAAATGTTTCATTTATTTATCAGATATTTTACACATGTATCAACTTGCTCGGTAATGTAAGAAAGTATATTAATATATTTTGATTTCGTTGCATGAATATTTTCTCAAAAAGTTTCATTTAAGATACATAATAAAGAAAAAAGGCCAACGTATATTTTAGTGAATGTTTTATTTCGTAAAATAATAATTAAAATCAAAATAGTAAAAAGAAACTGAGAAATGTATCAACTTGCTTCGGTTCCAAGCAATTGTGTTAGTTGGTAGCTAGATAGAAACCATCGAAATTAGGATATACGTGGCAGAATCAGCTTATTCACCACAGTTTTGACATTTGATGATTCCCAAGCCGAAGATGAAGAGAACAGCTTGCCACACTTGGACAGCTTCCAAAGCAAGCTTCCACCTGGAATTCTACCACATGGTTTGCCACAGGTTAAAGAAGTTCAACCTGCTGTTACACAGGTAGAACAAGAAAAGGAGAAAGAAAAACCTAAGAAAGAAGGTACATTCAGATACATAATTTCTTAATATAAATGATACCCATATCTTTTTCACTTGTTGATTATCAATTTGAAAACAGTACGCGAGTTCAGTGAGGAAGAAAAACAGATGATCATACTTTCGGAGGACTTTAAACGATTTCTCGATAGTACCAGTAGGATTGTAGAAAGAGCATTAGGTGAATCAATCGACATTTACACCGATTATACCGGCACAATGGACGGCGAGGATGGATTGTAAGAAAATAAATGATAGATAATGTTCTTACCATACTTTAACTTTCTATACATCAATCAAAATTTTGTTTGTTTCTTTACAGAGACGAAAAAAGTCATCAACAATTATGGTTAAACCGTTCGTTTTTTTGCGAACGGTGGTCGCGTAATCGCTGTGTCACTTCGATGGATTGGTCTCCACAATTTCCAGAACTTCTTGCTGCCTCGTACAACAACAACGATGATACTCCGAATGATCCCGACGGTGTATGTTTAGTTTGGAACACTAAATTCAAGAAATCCACTCCTGAATTTATTTTCCATTGTCAATCACCGGTGATGTCGACAACTTTTGCAAAATTTCATCCAAATTTGATTTTGGGCGGTACTTATTCTGGTCAAATAGTACTCTGGGATAATCGTGTACAGAAAAGAACGCCTGTACAAAGAACACCTTTGTCAGCTTCAGCTCATACGGTAAGTTTTTTATTTACCGTTCATTGTTCAATCGAATTCAAAAGTTGTAAGAACAATCAGGATGATTACGGAGTAATTTTCGATCGTAAATGATAGCTTGTCCTTGATTAGATTCCGTTACAGATAGTCAAGAATCCCGTTATACGTTCCTATCGTGAAAAAACATTGTGGTTGTTTGTCCTATAATTTCATTCTATTACAGTCACATGTTCTTCTCTTTTCTTATCTGTTCTTTTATACTTCTCTATTACAAGAACTATTTCTTTCAGCATCCTGTGTATTGCTTAACTGTTGTTGGAACACAAAACGCACATAATTTGATCAGCATCTCGACTGATGGTAAATTATGCTCTTGGAGTTTGGATATGTTGTCTCAACCACAGGAAACATTGAATCTATTATTAAAACAATCTAAAACAATAGCGGCTACTTGTTTAGCTTTTCCTCATGGAGATGTGAATAATTTTGTTGTTGGTAGCGAAGATGGAACTGTATATGGCGGTATGTTTTCTCAATAGGTTTTTACGTTTAACAATAAATTCTCGATGAAATTGAGTTTTTCTTTTTTTATATAGATTGCAGGCATGGCAGAAAATCTGCCGTGGTTGAAGTACTTTACGAGGGTCATCAGGGACCAGTGACCGGTATTAGTACACATGCTGTTCAAGGAGGAATTGACTTCTCTCATTTGTTCTTAACATCTTCTATCGATTGGACCATCAAATTGTGGAGTCTTAAAGAAATGAAACCTCTTTACTCGTTCGAGCATAACGGAGATTATGTATACGATGTTGCATGGTCACCAACTCATCCAGCATTATTTGCAGCTGTTGACGATTCAGGCAGATTAGATCTTTGGAATTTAAATCAGGACACCGAAGTACCCGTTGCTAGTGTCATAGTTGATGGAAATCCTGCATTGAATAGAGTTTCTTGGACACCGAGTGGTTTACACGTCACGGTCGGAGATGACACTGGTAAAATTTGGGTCTACGATGTTGCAGAGGTAAGAATCAGTTTTTATATAATTGTAAAAAGTTCAGATAAATATATTTTCATTACCGTAACATTTTATTTACAGCACTTGGCATATCCAAGAAGCGATGAATGGAATAAGTTCTTATATACACAACAAGATTTAAAGAATAACAAAGCGGATGAAGAATTAGACAGGCTCAATCTTAATTCCGGACCTTCTTCGTTAACTTCTTTAACATCCATGTCATCGTGTCCGCTTAGATAAAAATTTTGTGCTACTTAGAGAGAATCACGATTATAAAATGTGGGTTTAGCTTACTTTAAAGCCAAAATAATATAGAATACTTATTAAAAAGCTGGTATAAAATTTGATCAAGGATATACATATTGTTGAAAAAAACAAAAAACAAAGGATACTCATTACGCTATTACTCTTATTGATAAACAAAAACCGTTCTTTTAAAAACAAATCTTTTTTCCACAATGATATCTTGTACACTAATAACATAATTTTCACGATTATATGTATTCATTTATTTAACGATATCGAATTAATTCTATTATTTAAATTAAAATTAAATTATTTCATCCTAATAATAGTAAATGGTCATATCATTAATCTAGATTTAAGATTGATTCTTATTCGCATAATATTATAATAGAAGAATTTGCAATTTTAACGTTTGTGTCGAAAAATTTTTGTTCATTTATTTTATTTGCTGCCCAATATTATATTAGATTATTACAGGATAGTTTTCCAATGATACCTCGATTACTTACAATTAGTTAAATTTAATTCCTGTTTTTTTTATAAGGCATATGTAATTTAATCTTATAGTAAGTAACATTATTTATATTGTTAGAAATTTTTTTTTTTATAGATTTTTCACACACTATCCGCTTTACCACGCCCATGTTATATCTCTCTTATAATCTTCCCTTATTATAATATTAATTTATATGTATAAATTTTGTACATTGCTCGAAGATGCAAAATACAAGGTTAAGGCGTTAGCTATATAAATGCTCTATATAAAAATTAGAATTATGTTTATTCACTTTCAAATGGACTCTGTACTTATACTCGATAATTTATAATTAATATATATATATTTTTTTTCAGGATAAGTGGATTATATTTCTATCACGTCATTCTATTGTTATTTCTTTAGATTCAAATTAATAATACAGAATAATTAAATGTTAATTAGTAACAGGTGATCTTACACAATGAATTAATATCAAATTTACTTGTAAATAATATGAGCTGTATAATTGATCATATTTTAAATAAGCATTCAATATGCTTTTAACACGAATTCTATTATATTGTATAATTGTAAAATAATGTTTTATTAATGATTGTCAATATTTTTAGATTTGCATAATAATTTTGAAATTTTTTTTTCAAATCACGTGCTTAAAACAATTAATGAAATCTATGCGGTAATACATATAATAAGCACAATAAATAATTAAGAATACGTTCATTTTTTTTTTTAAATATATTAATTTTTATATCATACTCGTTGAGATTGCTTCATTTTATTTTTATTAAATAAATAAAATAATCACAAATGTATTTATCTTACTGTCAAAGACAGTATCTCATATGTATGAAATATAATAACTGTAATAACTTTTGCGAATGTTTATATGATCAATTTATATTTACAATCCTTCAAAATAATTTTAATTTTCTATTATAGAATCGCTATTTATTCTTTGTTCGATATTATTAGTATAATGAAAAAATTGATGACGAACGTATATTATATTACTATGAAACGACAGTTCTATGTATCACACGTGTCGTATCTGTCGATGACGTCATAACAATTCACCATTGTGCTGCATTTAAGAAATGACGTAAGTAGGGCACCATGAGCAAATGTCAGATTTAAATAAAAATATGGCGTTGGTCATGTGTCATTATTTAGATCAGTAGTTCTTTAAAACAGGAGTTTGATACAAACGATGTTTAATTTATTGAAATGTTATTATAAAAAGATCAATAATTTAATTATTTTCCATTTAAAAAAAAACTCAGTCTATAAAGTGTGTAAGAACGTTGACATAAATTATAAAAATCGATAAAATACCAATACAGTCTAATTTTACACACTGTATGACATATTTTTAATATAAGAATATTGTACTTCCATAATAAGTGTGATACTTAAAAGAATTTTGTTTATATAATTATTTATACATTAAAGTGAACGATTGTAGATGAGATAAGAAACAAGAAATAGAGAGAGGTTATGTGTCAAAGTTTCGTCTTGACAGGCGCAAGTGCTTTCAACTGCATTAAATAGTAGAATATAAAAAAGTTGCGAAAGGCTAGTGAGTAGTCAGTAACCATTCTGCTCTCGACCGAGCAGGTAGTACTTAGGAGAAGTCCTCCTTATCTATTGTTTCGCAGTTAATGCATTTCTATTTTATTATCTTTTGAAAATCTTGACAATTTTTTTGGAAATTCACAAAGGATATACAAAAGAAGAAAAAGCAAAAATGAGCGACAAAAGAATTGGTGAGTATAAGACAACAAAAAAAGGTGAATGCACTTTTCGAGTTTTTCAAATCTGCAGATTGCACACTAAGTAGGAAGCTGAATAAAAGCAGGCCAACCTGCTCCATTTTTTATCAAGAACACAGTAAAAAATCGATGATACACATTTTGAAAAAAAGCTTTGACTACGATTCAATTTTTTCTTCTTTATCTTCTTTTATCTGTCATTTTCTTTTATTTGTATTAGACGTAAATAGAATCTTTTTATTTCTTTATATATATATATATATATATATTTTTTTTTTTTTGTTTAATAAAAGATAAAATAAATTCTAATCTATCTTTATTTTGTTTTAACAGAGCATATTGTAATGACACCAAAATGCAAAACTGGGAATTCAACAACTTTGATAATAGAAAGACAAGCTTTGGAACCTCCCACAGAAAACGGAAATGATAATGTACATGTGGCTGGTGGTGACCACAAAGGAATTGTTATTAACAAACAAGCTATTAATGGTAGTTACACGATCTTTTTAAAATAAATTATTTGACTATCAAATGGATCCCATAATAGTTTTGTTTGTTTTAATTTCAGTTACAAATGGCGATGTATCAGCACCACCACATCTGTGTCTACAATTTAGAGTATTTTTAGTAAGTACACAAACTGGGAAGCATACACAAGAGTCCAGGACACTTGAATTTTGGTTTAGCGATACCTGTTCAGAAACAGAACAACCAACTGTCGCACAAGAATTTTTCAGAGAATTGGTTGCACCACAAGAATTTCCAAGAGGTAAATAATTATTTAAAAAATATATGATTTATATATATATTTATTTTTATATATTTAATTGTATTAACATAAATATTTATTTATAAACTTTACAGATTATGTGGGATTTATAAAGAAAATAATGAAGCTGATGCAACACAAGTATTCCAGTATTAAAAAATTAGAAGTAGAATTGAAACAACTTGAAGAACCAGTTTCACTTCCAACTAGACCATGTAAGTTAAACCTTATAAAGCATAACTACTTGCATATGCAAGTAGAACAAATGTGTAAATATAAATGTTGATTTGTCTTACAATTAGACCTTTAACTAACATTTTAAAACCATTTATTTTACCTTGACAAAAAAAAATCACTTATACATGGGTGAAGGTTCATCTCTCATTTGATTAACCTCATTGAACTTGATAGTTCCTTATTGAACGATATTGGAGCAGCTGTCTCAAGTGCACATTAAAGCAGAAACCAGAGGAAATACGTACTTGACTTGAAACTTACTATGTTTTGTTCCATTGATTTAAGGGAGACATTATTTATGTTTATAGCTTGTCATTATTGTTATTATTATTATTGTTATTACATTTTCTACTTCATCTCTTATTATTCACAGCCCGCACCGGTTATATACTCATCACACTTCCTCCATCTAAGAAAATTATTTGGAAAACAGGTTCGAGAAGAAGAAAAAAGTTCTGCATTTTTGTCATGTTTTGTTGTTGTGTTTCATTTCTTATCCACAGGCCTCTAGTTAAAACACAAGTTAATACACGTAATAACGTAGATGAAAATAATGATTTAATATCTTCTGGTCAATACTGTTTACATAATCTATTTTTCATAGTTATTGATAAAACTAGAAACAAATTTGTTTGTTCATTAAAATAGTTCTTTTATATATATATTTGACCAGTAGATACATATTTCTCTACTTAGCACAACAGACTGGTAACCATAACAACATTGGCTTAACACTTATTACTCTCTATAATTTGCATTATGCTCTTTTCTAGATTGAATACGTATAACTAAACAAAAAAAAAAAAAATAAAAAAAAAACAACAACAACATTCATTTTTTATCACTTTATGTAACAATTGATTATTTCGATCACGAATAAGAATTTTCTAGTATTCATATTCTAAAATACCAGTAAATGTCTCTAGATGCACTTCGTTTATTTTCTGTAGATTGTGTATCAATTGAAATATAGAAAATGCTGGTATTTCATTATTCTATTTAACATAGATGTTATATTCTATATATGGAGAACACACAAAAATATAAATGATATATATACACAAAAAAAATATATATTCATAATAACGAAGCATGATTCTCAATATATACACAAATAGTATGTTATCATTATGCTGCAAGAACTATGTGTGTATCTAACAAACATTATAAATAACAATAAAATTAAACAATTTATGCAAACTAATTTTTCATTTCAGAGTCACTTTGTTTTTGTGTAATAATTTTTATATGCAGATATGCACAGCTTTAGTATTTCATAAGTTTTATAGTAAAATTCATTGTATTATATATAATTACATTATTTATTATTTTTGTTAATAGTATCTACAGATGAAGCTGTTATGGATCAAGTAATAGAACTCACTATAGAAAAGGTGTTGGAACTTATTGAATCTGCTTATCCAAATCCAGTTACTGTGATTGATATAGCAAAGTAAGTTGCAACAAATTTAATATTAATCAATAATGAATATTTAATTATTAATCTCATAAAATATTTTCTATTACAGAGAATATGGTTGGGAAGTATCTGCAGTCGAAGCAAAGATGAAAGAATTACAAGAAAAAGGTGTTGTAAAAGCCATGGATCATGGAGCTTTTACCAGAGTTGTACATCAAGATACTCAAGTTCAGGTAAAATAAATCAAATTTATATACGTTTATCTAAAAATTAATAAATATTTTAATATATTTCACAGGTCGTCAAACAAATGCCTACCATGGCCAGTTCTAAACAGCCAACAATAGCAATTATCACCGCACAGTATTGCGAGAAGCTTGCAGTTGATTCCATGATTGAAAATAAAAAAACGTTTGTTCGATATACGACTGTAGGTAAGCTCTTATATATTTTATAATTATTTATTCTCGAGAGTACTATAATTGATGTCTATTCGGAATTGTCATTGTATGGCTTTCCCAAACCATCATCTGACCTATGTAGAATACTTTATTAATTACATTTACAATACTAATAATGAAATAGTGATTCATTTTAGTATTAATAGAAAATAGCAAAATTCAATAGTCTTTCATTATGTGTGATTTACAATTAGAGTATAATAAGTAATATATTATCAATGGTAATTCTATTCTAATCTATTCTTTATGCATACACGTGTATTACGTTAAACAATTACCGATATCTAGACAAAAGATCGTTAATCAGTAATATATGTATGCATAAGGAGAACTTATTGAATATAAGATTTAAAAACATGCCGCATAACTATATATATATATCTATTTCACCATGCATGAAACTTTAGGTACACCAACATCACCAGATACAACAGACGGAGTTCCGCGCGTGTCTTGCCGTTTTGGTAAAGTAGTTTGTAACATAGCTAGTTTTTTGTTGTCAACGTTACTTGTAATGTCACTTCATAGCTTGCCATCTGCTTGTATCCAAGGAACGCTGCAGGATCACCATACTACAATCTTACATAAGACACACTGTCATTAATTATCTTCATTCAATAGAACAATATTCGTGCCACGTTAACAAAATTTTAATGTCATTTACACTCACATATATTTTTATATTTATTTAATTATTACAGTAAAATACTTTAGATAAATTATATCCAGTTATACCACTTCTCATATTAGCATGGCACATGTTACATATCACTTTGTCAAATGTTTAACTTTATGGAGTTTCATTTTATGTTGTATGCGTTTATATTATCATATAGTTCGAATTTTATCTTGTGTGCATTACTCAACAATAGAGAAATGCAATTATCTAATTACGTATGGAATTAAAAAAAGGATTTCTTTATTTTATAATCATTAAGTATAATATATTATAATGAATTACAAGTATTGAACTTGACCTTATATATCAAGATTAAAGTGTCGAGTGTTGTAATAGATACCATTTTTAAAGATATATCTTTACGGTTACGGTTGCATTACAGATATGGTTACAGTCGAATAACCGGTTATTAGTTTTTTCTGTCATGAGTAATATTCCTTCATATATTGCATGTAGGATTATTCTCGTCCGACCTATAACTGCATTCAAGTTTTTAGATTAGACCAATTCAATTTCATTTTAATTCGTAATATTTTGAATAAATTTGATTTATATATAATAGCACATAATAATTATATCTTTTTTATTTTTAATATTTAACAAAGTCTATTTATTTGTAACTATTTGTTATTGATCTACAAAAAATTGTGTAAATCTAATAATAAAAAAAAAATATTCTATCAATTGTAACAACAACTCAAATATGATGAATGCATAATTTTAGAATGAATAATTTTGAAATTCATTTTTGATCTATAATTATTTGATTCTTACACTGTACACAGGTCCAATGTCGATCTTTTTATAGCGGCACGATGCACCTGTATAATACACAAGTTGAAAATCGAACATGTTATATTATACACAGTCTAAAGCGTAAATATTATTTGTTTTAGGAGAATCAAACGTGTATACATTGGGTAATATCGGTGCTCATAGAATCGTTTGCACAAAATTGCCAACAGTGGGTCATACTCGAGAAGCTATGACTGCAGCAGGAAATACTACGACTAGACTATTAGGTAAGAATGAACGAACATTTGAATATCATTGTTTTATTTCTATTTTTAATCAGTATATTATTAAGAATAGTTTTTCAATATTTATACTTATCTAATACATATATTCTCCTCTCATGAACTAATTATAAATTTTCTTGTGAAAGATAAACATTTTCTATAACGCAAATTTTCATAAAATGTTATACGGAAGTCTACTGTATACAAGTTCGTATATTGTTCTAGATAGTTAGTAGTTCGATCAGTATAATAGCGGAAAAGTTGGCGATAAGATTATGCGAATGGTAAATAAAATTCTTATCGCGTATGCATTGATTCTTCCTCTCTTTGGATCTATTATTAATTTAAATATACACATCACACGTAGAGAATGATTATTCTGTGTGAACAGTAAATTTATTTAACCCTTTGCACTCCGCACGACTTTTGACGCTGGGTAGCAGCAGCAACTCCGCGCGACTTCGCGGCAGAAACGGCACATTTACAGACCCTCGTATTATTTAGTATAACTTTGGAACCAAATAACGGATTCTAATGATATTGGACTTATATTAATCTGTAGACATCAAGGAACATATTTACCTAAAGAACTTTTACCAAAAGAACTTATTTACCAAGAGAATGTATGTGTGTAATAACGTTGCAATTGAAAAAAAGCGAGCGCGTTCTATTGTATATGAAATGTGACACTATTTGATAATATTTCTTTGTACATTATAAATCGCACTATAAAATGTGAGATATGCTCCTATAAAAATCTTTCCTTTACAAATTCTTCTTAACGCTCTTCTCAAGTTTCACTAAAAAGTTCTCAGACGCGTCTCGCATTCTCTTAGAACACAAAACCCGTTAACATTTTTTTTATATATCTTTGTTATTTTACAATATTTTGATTCGATGTCTTGTGCTATTTTAAGAAAAAACATCAGGGAAACATGCATGTCTCAAAAAATTGTGCTGAAATAACTTAATTCTCCGTAATCACTAATAAACTTTAATGTCTTATACGTTGAGACATCGGAGTGATAGGCTAGAATCACGATGTCTCATACGATGAGACAGCAGAGTGCAAAAGGTTAATACATACGATATCAATATAATATTTTCTTCATAGAAATATATTTTGTTTGCACGCAGGTACTTTCCAAAAAGTTGATTTCGTATTCCTGGTTGGCGTTGGTGGAGGTGTACCACATTACACAGATTACAACAAACATGTGAGACTTGGCGATGTGGTTGTTTCACATCCAATTCCGATCAATAAGAAATATGTATACGTATATTGTGAAAGTGCGAAGATAAACGAGAAAGATAATTATCATTTCGAGACCAAAGAATATTGTCCACCTAATCTAGGTCTTCAAGAAATAGCTGTTAATTTGAAACAACAGGTAAGTTAATTAGCACTTATTTCTCATATTAACAACGTGCTATTTAAACTTTAAACTTTATTATGTATTTCAAGTCGGAAAATGAGATAAATCCTCCTTGGCAAGAGTATTTAAAAGAAGGTATAGAAAATTTAGGTAATCAAGCGGAACACGACTTCAAAGCACCACCCGCTGAATCCGATAAATTGTACATGGCTATTGGAGACAGAGACGTCATCGAAGTTGCTCATCCCATTGCTCCTCAGGATTCAACGAACAAGAGGTATATTTATAAAATTGATTTCTATTGTTTTTTTTCTTTTTTATACTGACTCTTTAATTATTCAATCAGAATGGAGGGTTGTCCTAGAATCCATTTGGCACCAATTGCTTCGGGTCGGCAAATTGCAAGAGACGATCAACTCAGACAAAAATTTGCCACTCGTTTTGGTGCACTTGCTTTCGATGCCGAAATGGATGCCGTAGTTGAAAGTATCCTTGGAAATTGTAGAGAGAGTTTTGCAGTGATACGAGGTATCTCAGATTACAAGGACGGCTCTCGTATCAAAGAATGGCAACCTTACGCCTCATTGGCAGCTGCGAGCGTTATGAAGGCCATTATTTGCGCTATGGATCCACCAACCAATGTCTAATTCGTATTACTTTTCTATATTTCTTTAGAGTGGATCGGTAGCTAAATTTTAATTCGATATATGTCACGTAGCATCAAAATGCAATATGGACCAAATCATTTTCTTCGTGATTCTAACTCGTATTCGTACGTCAAATAATTTATTTGACGCTAATAATGATCAGCACAAAGTGCATAATTAATAGTGATCGACGAATACTTTTGTTCGTCATTTTTCACAAATATATATATATATATATATATATATATATATATATGTAGAAATCGTTATAAACGGGCCACCGGCAATCAATTCCATTTTCTACTTTAACTTCCGTTTCTATTCGTCAAATTTGTACGATTTAATAGTTTAACACAAGGTGATCTCTGATATAAATGAATATATGAACAGAAGATAGAAATGTTCGATAGGTAAAATACGATCATAAAAACCATCTATTGGTTGCTGGTCAACCGTGCAATAAGACGAATGAAAAGATACGTGTAATTATCGCCTTCCGAAATGATTTTTTTATGTACTTTACAAAATGGTAATGTTTCTATATACTGGAATGTGCCATTCTTTCAGATATCATTTTTTTTCTTAACCGGATATCAAGTTCCATTTGAATTTTATATCGTAACTTTTTCTCTACAAATATTACAAATATTATGACGATTATAACATTGACAATAACGGGTTGATCTTCTATAAATGAGATCATTCCTGTAATATTCCAATTAAGTTTTTTTTTTTCTATTTACAATTTAGCATCTCGTTGTTCTTCGTTATTACCCCCGTGCACAAATGCAATCAAATAATAACACATATACATTTTAGTTATTTGATAGAAATGGTGCCATTGCTATTGTCCGACATTGTAGAATGCTTCTTATCTAATGCGATTATCTCGCAATCAGTTAGACAAGCATATAAGTTGTTCCTTCCATAAGTATTTCTTCAAGAGTAAAATTTTAATAGACTCATTTCACTGATTAATTAACAGAAATTAGAATTAAAAAAAGAAGGTATTAAATATTAGGACTGAAAGAGGAACCGAGTTATAAAACTCGACTTATTCACAGAGTTATTTCCGCTGTCGTAATTTCCATCTTAAATATAGTTATAGATAAATGAATCAATCTCAACTCGAATTTACTCGATGAACGTAGCTAGGTTTAGATGTGATAATAGTCATCGCTATAAAAAAAAAATAAAAAGAAAAATGTATTGCCATCGTTTGGCAATATTTCTCAAAATCCAATCAAATTAATCGTTGCAATATTAGGTACGTCTACGATCATTACATATTTACCAGAGTATATCAATGTTTTAAAAAGATCACATTTTATCCAGGAAGCTGCAAGAGTGTTAAAGATTACCTAACGTATATGAATACTTTTGTATTGGTTTATCATTGTCGAGAATATGATAGATCGAGAATAAAATCTCGATGTATTCACTAATAATTACAGAATTTCGATAATATTGATAAGTGTGCCAATGTGTTCATACGTAAGTAAAATTCGCTATCCTTGAAGAAATAATCAAATTCGATTTACATGAACATATCGGTTATATATATATTTTTTTTCTTTCTGAGAACGTATACGTTTTATTTAACATTTCAATAATTATTCTGATCATAAGTCTTATCGAATCCTTCCATTAAAAACACTTCCTAGCATTATTAATGCTTTATATATTCTAAAGCACAGGGTAGTAAGTAAGAACTAAATTATAAATCTAATACAAAGATTGCATTCAAATATAAATCGAAATAACGTAGGAAAGTACTAGATATATATAACGTCTATTGTGTTAATAATGAAAGTCAAAAATTTTAATAGACAGATACATGTGATTTATTATCGAGAGTAAAAGTATTTATCATTTATAAAGTCTTTTAACTTATATAAGTGATAATTATAATTTATTTATTTATTTATTAACACGAAATAATAATTATTGATTATATTCAAAGTTATTTTCTTTCTCTTTAAATTATATTGAAAAAAAAAAAAAAAATACGAAGCGGCATCTATTATATCTGTCGTTTTGGCATAATATCAAAATAATGGAAACAATATTTCTAAAGATAGGAAAAAGTGGACCGAAGAGACGATTTAAAATGTCACTTGTTGTGTAGAAGCACAATATTCAAATTCTATGAGCTATAGAGAGAGACTATCAACTTACACATATTATAATGATATAAAATTTAATATATTTATCTATATATATAAATATATATATACACCCGCTGAACTAATAAAGATTATCACTTTAAATAATTCGGTATATCTATTTGAACTTTATTTAAAAATGTTTACAATTAAATTTATGAATTCGATCAAGCGATTATTTGATGTCTTATATTCAATGAAGTGTTAAAATATTCTTTCATTTTTTTTTTAAATACAGTTGCATATTGTTTTACTACTCTATTAGAATTAACAATTTTATAAGATATAATTAAAAATGGTATTTAAATTACGAGTTATTTCATGTGATAATATTTATTGATTGATTTCGGTATATGTATATGTATATGTATATATATATCCTAGAGTAATGAATTCGATTTACCTGATAAAAGATTCCTATGTATGGCCTAATTTTAATTTTATGATTAAAATATTCCTTTTTTTGTTTGTTTTTATTATTGCGTTAATAGAAAGTCTGATAATATACATTTATTTGTGTAAGAATCAATTATGGCGGTACAACAATGGTATATTACGAAATATGATAAGGTTCTCGTTAAACATTTTTTGCGTTTTTCATTTGCTTTCAAATAAAAGTTACTTTTTTTATGCATTTATTATTGCATATATAGTATAAGTAAAGAATAAAAAAAATATAAAAAGCTTTGCGCGTTTCTTAGCTGTCCAATTTATTCGCAATTTGTTTTTTCTAACGCGCTTTTCCACGCTAGTCGCAATTATTTATTGTGTTTATTATTCGTTTATAATAATAAATGAATATTTTTTAATTATATTAGGTCGAGTCATAAATAACTTCCGTTTTTTATGAGACAAAGAATGGCGTTTCTGCGACTGATAAGTGCAAGACACCTTTCATGGAGTTTTATATATATTATATATAAATATAATATATATTTTTTCATATGCCACCGTAGTGCTATTGCCTTGTTTCAATTCTTAAAGCATTACATGTCGAATATGCACTTTTTACTATCCATTTCAGTGGTTAAGAAAAACGGTTAAATGTAACATTGACTGCATAAAAAAGTTAACAGAAGACTAACTGAATCCTCATCTATATAGTGATATCGAAAATCCGTTTGTTTCGGTGACTTACAGTAGGTAAATACGAAAAATAGATTTTACATAGTCGCATCGGAAGTTACTTATGACTCGACCTAATACAAAGTAATAAAAAAATTCCTGTGGGTTGAGAGGTTTAGTTAATAAGATTTTTATCATATATATAAAAAATAATTTTTTTTTCTATTATTATTTATTTAATAATATTTTATAATTTTGTTTTGTAGACATTTGTACTTTACAAAATGATACGTTTATTATTTCGAAAATTTTAGTCAGTATTTTTGTAATAAAAAGAAGTTTTATTAAAAATGTTTAATTAATGAATTTTTATTTTTTTTTGTATTATTTAAGAAAATATCGTTATCAAATATTTGTCAAGCTTGAAAATATTCATATACGTTCGAAAACGATGAAATTTCTATACGCATTTATGCGTATAAAGATATCGTTATCAAGGACAGTTATATTCAACAAGTTCTTTATATATATATATAATTATATTATACAGTATTTTAATTATCGATATGCCTTCGATAATCATATGTATCGCCTTTTTGATAAAAATTATTACAGATCGATAATTAAACAAATATTCAATAGATATTAATCGCAGTATGAACACCGGTGTATATTCACGAATACACCGTAAAAAAAAAACAACAAAAAAACATACCAAAATTTGGATAATACATTTTTCTTGATGTAAAACCACACATTCGTATTTATTAATCATTCCTGTTTTGTGAAATAAACTGTTTTACGAGTCAAAAATGACACTTATTTAATTAATTGTCCTAGATTTTAATCTCCTTTTCAATTCTATATCTTTAATTATATTATTTATACTTTGTACGTGTTTAATATTTACAAGACTTACCAATTTGATATGAAAAATGATAAAGAAACGGTTGCTACTATCTTGTAAAGAAAATTTAGATAAGGAAAATGAATATTTGTCCAATGTCGTCACTTATCAACGGACAATTTTTCTTCTAGTTTATTAATTTTTCCTAAACCTTCTTCTTCTTTCAACATCTCATTTTTTGTTTGCAAACTTAACATTTCACAATCATTTTGTTCACTTGGTTTTCCATATTGATTCCATGGTTGTTCCTTGGATGTACCACCGAATAAATAAATTAAACAACCAGCTATCGCATTTGCACCGGCAATGAGGAATACGATAAACCATTGACCAACTGTTTGCTAAAAAGATAATATTAATTTTTTTTTAATAAATCATAAATCAAATAGTACAAAATAAGATTAATCTTAAAGATATATTTTAAACAAATAAAATAGAAATAATTGTATATGAACGAATTTAATAAAGTTGTCTATTTAAAAAGAAATAAAATAAAAGGATTCAAATTGTAATACCAATTGAAATAATTGACATTTAACTTACATTATTGTTAGTAAGTAAACCAACAATCACAGGTGAAATAAATCCAGCCCAAATTACAACCATTCCACAAAAACCAAGTAATATACTTGCATAATTGGGACTTAAATCAACAAAGCTTGCTAAAGTTGATGCTGAAACTGCCCCATTTACTGCTGTACCAGCCATCATAAAAATGACAGCTAAATATGGTTGACAACCGCTGTAGCCTAATGCGATTATGAATATACCTTGTAAACCATTACACACAAATGTTGCTAATTTTCTTACGTTGGTTAAACTCATTCTTTCAGTTCGTAGAAGCCAATCACTCATGATTGAATAGAAATAAGAAAAGATCATTCTTAGAATGTGAGGTGCACCAGATATAATACCCGTCTGAAAATAATATATACAGATACAGTAGGACCTCGATTAACCGGTTCACATTTATCCGATATTTCAATTAACTCTTTGGGCACGGTGGGATTAAAAGTGTCCCACCTTTTTGATACACCGTAATGCACGGTGGGACATTTTTAGTCCCACCTTGAAATATTATTGCAATAGCTACACATGCTTATAAGTTTATATTTCGTCTTATTTACGCAAAACAATTGGTTATTAACTCTTTTTTTTATGTTTTTACATTATTACATTATGCAATACCTTCATTAAGAAATATACCAATTAAGTTTCATTTAAAACGTAATCAAATTTCTCTATGCAACATGGGGCTATTTTATTATCTGAAATTTTATGCCACAAAGAATTAATTCGAGATCTTGTTTACTAGAATTACGATTATCTTATTTGTTAAATATTTTTTAATCGATCATTTCTTTTGTCTTCTGTTTGTTAACAATGTTATGAATTGATAAGTATAATAACACCTTGATATTTTATCCGTGTCATTTATTTTGCGATCATGTTGATTAATAAAATTCCTAGATTGTATATTATATAATTGGTAGAAAATAAATTAAAGAAAATACGATCATTCAAATTTGTCACAACATCAATATCAAGGAAATTGATTTTATCAGATTAAATTTACATGAAAAATATGTACATTAGTATTAGTATTGCATAAGATTGTAAGACCGTATTTCAATAGAACGTCATAGTACAGATAACGGATATGTAAAATGATAGTTACTTTTTTTTTTTACATATGTAAATAGACTTAATGATAAGTCTAATATGTCATTTGATTAAATACAGTTAAAAGGTTCTAACAATTTGATTGACATTTTGATTTCAATGAAACTTTGCAATGATATAAAATTACTAGTGAAATTCATACCCCGTTTAATTATTTTGATAAGTAATTTCATCCCTTAATAATATAATTCATTAATAACAAGTAAAATATTTTCCTTTGTATGAAATTCAGATTCGAAAAGTAATAAAACGTTGTAATATTATTAAAAAATATTTCTAAAGTTAATAGAAGGATAATTAAGTTATTTTACTTACTGCATGAATATTCCATCCATGAATAAAATTAAAGTACGTAGGAGCTTGTGTCATTAAAGTTAGGAAACCCCAAGCACCACCCCATTGAGCCAAAACTGTAATCCATACAGGTCCCGAAGTGAAAATTTCTTTCCAAGGTACTTTCGTTTCTTTGTCATCGACAGATCCCGAAATATTTTCGAGTATGTAATTTTTTTCATCTTCGGATATACGTGGATGTATTTGGGGTGAATCGTATACGAAGAAAAACCAAAAACAGTACCTTCATGCAAAATAAAATATTATTATAAATGAACATATTTATGAACATATACATATGTATAACTAAATAAATAAACGTATGTATATTTATATAAATATAAATATAAATTATATAAATATATAAATATAAATAATAAAATTAAATAAATTATTTATTATTTATATAATATATTTTAATTAATATTATATATTA